CTATGGCTTTGTAGCCAAGGCTGGCCTTGAACTCCTATCTCTACCTCCCAAGTAGGCTCCTCCCAGTTGTAATTTTACAATATATAAATAAAGTCCAACAGACCTTAGAATTAACAGACTGATAAGCTGACTAAGAATACAAATTCCAAAGGGCCTGAATACAAACTTTGATTTGAGCAATGTACTGAAACTTTTTCTTTCTTTCTTTCTTTCTTTCTTTCTTTCTTTCTTTCTTAAGTTGTGGAAATGGAACCCAGGACTTTCAAACAGTAGGCAAGTGCTGTATCACAGAGCTATACCCACAGCCTGTATTAAACCTCTTGGTGGCCCAGGAACTTCATCTGTGAAAGGATGGTGTGAGGGTTAATACTGTCAACTTGAATCACCAAAGATAAACCTCTGGCCTGCCTGTGAGAGACTTTCTTGTTTAGTTCCTTGAGATAGGAAATCCCACCTTAACTTTGTGGCACCATTCCTTTGGCTGGGGTCCCAGACTGGAAAACAAAAGAAAAAGTGCAGCTTATATAGGCCAGGCTGGCCTCAACCTCCTTATGATGACCTTGAACTTCCAATCCTCCTTTGTCTACCCTCCCACTCCCCCCAAATGCTGGGTTTACACCTGCACCGCCATGCCCAGTTTATGCAGTGCTGGGGATTGAACTCAGGCTTTCACGTCTCTGCTATGACGACTAAGCCAGCACCCTGCCAATACACCTCCATGCCCTCAGTTCTGCTTCGTCGGTTCTTGTTGTGCTTCCAAAGACGGGTCACTGCGCTGTCTGTCCTCAGTCTTTCTGTGGCACAACAGTTAGAAGGCTAATTGGAAAGCTGGGTGTGTTAGGGCACATCTGTGATCTCAGTGCTCCAGAACCTGAGGCAGGAAGTGTTAGAATTCAAGGCCAGCCTTGTCTCGTAAAAATAGAACCAGCCAGTTGTGGTATCACACACTGGTAGGATGTGCTGGAGAGGAAGAGGCAGGAGAATCATAATTTTGAGGCCAGCCTGAGCGACACATTGAGGCTGGAGAGACGGCCCAGCTGTTAAGAGTACATACTGTTCTTCCAAAGGATCCACATGGTGGCTCAGAACCATCTGTAACTCCAGGTCCAGGGGTCCAACACCTCCTTCTGACCTCCATGGGCAGCATGCATACACATGGTGCACATACATACATGCAGGCAAAACACTCTTATAAATAAATAAACGTTAGGAAGAAAGAAAGAAAGAAAGAAAGAGAAACCAGAAAAGTTTATAAAGATAACCAGAGATTGCTTTGTTCCTGAGAAAGAAAAAAAGAGATTTGGTGACTAGAGGGGAGGGACTATGCCTTACTATAGATTCAATAGTACTGATTTTACTCAAATCTACTCATCAAAACTAATTATGAGCCAGATACACAATCAGGAACAGCAAGTGACAGACATTGTGGCTACTCATTGATGAGACTCTGGCTAGCCAGGGAGCCCCAGGATCCTCCTGTCTCCATCCCCTAGAGCTGTGAGTTGAGATTGGGATGATGTGATACCACACACAGCTTTTACAAGAGTCTGAAAGATCAATCTTAGGTCCTCCTACTTAAGCAACCTGCACTTTACCTACTGACCGTCCCGCCAGCCTCTCAGCCTCATGTACCCGAGGCTATGGCCTCAAACAGTTTGTAACTGAGGCTATGGCCTTGGATTTGTCCTCTGTACCCACCTCCTGAGTGTTAGGATTATTGGCAGCCATCTCTGCTCGTGGTTTACACAACACTAGGAATAGAGCCCAGGGCCTTGTGCACGCTAAGCAAGCACTCTACCAACTGAAGTATATCTCCAGCCAACCTCAATTCTTGCTTTCCCCCACCACCACCACACCCTGTACTGTGGCCATACTGAGCCTGAGCAGGTTGGGTTCCCGCTCTCTGGTAGGTCTCCTCCTGAGCTCTGCCCTCTGTTGGAACATCTTCCCTCCCTGCAGTCCCAATTTGAGTCCCTTTCCACCTCCTCGACAAAGCCTTGCTACACACACAGACACACACACACACACACACACACACATATACGCCACAGCAGGGAACGCAGCAGACACGGCAGAAGTGAGTGCCCTTGGAAGGCCCCTCACTAACCTCTGCTTGTGTCTGGGATGGTTTCTTTGTGTCGTAACTGCTTCTTTAACAGACTATGGGCATCCTGAGTGTAAGGCTTCCGTTTTAGCCTATCACACCATCCATGGAATGCATCACTAGCTATGGGTCAGCTTCATTTGTTCACAAAGGACTCACCGAGCATTCTTATAGCAAGAACATGGAAGACGCCCTGCCTGTGTGACTGATAGAGACACCATCCTTGCCCCTTGGGTTGCCTAGGTTGCTTCAGCTTTGTTCACTTAAGACAAGGTCTTGCTGTGTAGCCCTAGCTGGCCTGGTACTTGCTATGTAGCCCAAGGTGGCCTCAGACTCGCCCAAAAACACATGCTGCCACCGCCCAGTGTAGGGACTACGGGCATGAATCATCATGCCAAGCTAATTACTGCCCTTTTGGAACCTTTAGGTCTCCCGGGACAGATGAAGCACATGAATGAATGAATGAATGAATGAACCAACCAACTAACTATAGGAGTGTCTCCTCACACCCGGATAAAACAGCCCTGAACAAGAGAAGTAAAAAGGCTGGTGTTTCTGTAGTTAGGGAACGAGGACACGCCCCCGCCACACACACACACACACACACACACACACACACACACCGCTTCCTGCCCTTTATACAGAGACTTTGAAAGACAACAAGGAGTTGAGCAGACAGCTTGGAGTCTGATTTCCAAATCTGAATTCTAGATCCATTACTCATTAGCCATGTGGTCTTAGGTAAACCCTCAGGGGATGAGAGTAATATAGCATGGTTACGATCTAATGCGATAATGTCTTTTTGTTTGTTTGGTTGGTATTTGAGGCAAGGTCTCTGTGTAGCCCAGGCTGGCTTTGAACTCAGCCTCCTGAGTGTTGAGATGGTAGAGGTGCAGAAGCCCAAGATAAAGTGCTTCAGTGGTTGAGGGCTTAGGCTCAGCTGGGGCTGAGGGACTATACACAATTACCACCTGTTGGGGAAGGTGTGTCACTTTCTTTAGTGGTCTGCCACAGACAATTTGTCTCTTTGACACTAAATAACCCCCATTCCCACTCCACAAATTAGCTCTAATTAAACTCAGTGGCCACACACTTGAAGTAGAAAGGAGATTTATTGAGGGTACCAGTGAGAGAGAAGGGGATGAGGGAGGGGGAACGGTAAGGGTACCAGTGGGGGAGAGGGGGATGAGGGAGGGGAGTGGTGAGGGTACCAGTGGGGGAGAGGGGTATGAGGGAGGGGAATGGGGATAAGGGGATGGGGATTAGGGAGGGGAATGGGGATGTGAAAATGACTATAATTCATTTTATGAATGTACAAAATTATCAAATAATTTTTAATGGGGAGGATACATGAGGAAGGCAGAGGCAGGAGGGTCTCTGAGAATTCAAGGCCAGTCTAGTCTACGTAGTGAGTCCAGGCCAGGCAAGACTACATAATGAGATCTGTCTCAAAAAAAAAAAAAAAAAAAGGAATAAAATAGATTTTAAAAAAATATGAGCCGGGCGGTGGTGGCGCAGGCCTTTAATCCCAGCACTCGGGAGGCAGAGGCAGGCGGATGGATCTCTGTGAGTTCGAGGCCAGCCTGGTCTACAAGAGCTAGTTCCAGGACAGGAACCAAAAGCTACGGAGAAACCCTGTCTAGAAAAATAAAAAAAAAAAAATATGAAAGGGAAACAATGTTTTTTGCAGGTCCCAAGGCAGGAAGACAGCATAAGAGTCAGGCCCTAGCTATGGCCCAGTGTTTAGACCTTCACCCAGAAGTTGGTCTCCCTGCGCCCTCACACCTTCTGGCTTCCAGCCCCCTAGAGCACCTGCCTCCACTGCTCAGTTCAGTTTACAGGCCACCTGAGTTCTGTTGAGGCCAGGGTTTGTCTTCTATATCTTTACAAGCCTGCAGCCAGTTAGGGAGGGAGTGGCTGAAAGAGGGACAAAGAAAGAGAAAGTGTAGCTGTTTATCCAGGCCCCACTGTGTGCAAGTCACTGGGCCTGTCCTTGATTCAGCTAGTTCCTTATCATCTTTCAAAGCAAACAAACAAAACGAAAACCCTGTGAGGAAGCTGAGGCCCAGGAAGTAAACAGAAGACGTGGGGTAGGAATCCAGGCCTCTCTGGTTCTCCAGCATAATTTCCCACCACGCCTGCCTACCAGTTTGAAGATGGGGATAAATTTCAATTTTCCTGTTCACAGGAGGAGAAATGGGATGCTCCTCTCCCCAGACAAGTGAAGTGCACACTCAACCAATGAGTAAACAAATGAACACTAGTAAATGATTTGAGTGAGTGAAATCCCTCTGGTGCCTTGTACCAGGAAGGAAGAAACAGTCCACGGGAGCGCCTTGCTGGAAGTGGTGAGACAGTCTTGCCTGGCAAGCCCTCGGGGCAGGGACAGGGGCTGGGGAAGCGCGGGGTAGAATCCCTGCTCAGGTGGAGATAGAGACAATACCTGTGTGTGTGGTTGCAGGAGGAGCTAAGCAGTAGGACACTTATTTGGCATGATATAGTACACACACACACACACACACACACACACACACACACCAGCATGCCTCCAGCCAAAAATAAAAATAAACCCTGGGAGTCAGAGGATGCTGCTACAGAGAAAGTAAAAGTGATCGACAGGGTTTGAAAAGTCAGTGAGGGAGCAGGATTGAACTCCCTGGTCGCCTCCCCAACCATTTCCTAAGCGGTCCAAAATGCTGTCAACTTTGAAAAGGAAAAGTTTCAGAGCGCTAAGCGGCCACTCTAGGTTCTTCCCGAAGGTAGCTTCTGGAAGCTGGACCTTTCCTTCCCCTCATCGGTTGGCAACCAGCTTTAATGCGCTGCCTGGAATTCCTGCCATTCGCCCCCAGTTTCAGTACTTGGCCTCCCAGCGCCAGCCCCAACCCCTGCACCTTACCTGAGGAGGCCGAGGCGCAGCCGTCCCACCCTGCAGTCCGATCTTGCTCTTCACGCAGCAAACGGAGCAGCCTGTTGGCTCAAGCTGCAGCCTACTAGGCTCTCCACCAGCCTTCCCTGAACTAAAATCGTCCAGACAGGTTCCTAAGGGGGAGGGTGCCAAAGGAAATTCCCTCTCCGCCTAGTGGCCTGGCCTAGGCTGGGCCAGCCCTGCTAGGCAGTCTCTCCTGGGCTGGCCCTGGATGAATGAGTTCGTGCCTCCTCCTACTTGGGTTTGTGCCAGGGAGCCAGTGACAGCCGCCCTGTTCTTTCTCCTGGGCGCTGCTATCCATGCCTCCTCCAGGTCCTGCCTTCTTTTCTGTGACTGAGAGGGCCTTCTGCTCTCTGCGCTCCAGGAAAGGCCTGCACTGCAAGGCCTCAGTTACTCTGCGTGGATTGTCCTGGAATCACACTCCAGTGTGACTCAAGCCTGGTATTCCACAAAAGGCTCTGGACAGTTTGGTCACAAGGCTCCTAGATTCTGCCCACAGACTGGATGTGCCTTGGCTCTGACACAAGAGGCTTGCCAATCTCTGATTATCCAATCAAAGTATCTGGAGGATGGCTGGCCTTGTGCCAGGTCCTGCGAGTGGGGAAGTAGGTTAACCTGGTGCCTGCCCCACCAACTGTGCTAGCAAGACAAAACGGAGTACTCCGCTGAAGATTTGCCCAAGATTCAGGCATCGTGATCAAGGAGGACTTCCCTATGTGGAAGAGTTCTAGAAAAAGCTCTCAGAGATGACAAGCCACTGAAGTTCAGAATTGTGAGCAAGCAGTGTCAGGTCAGGAAGGGCCTTGCAAGGCTTGCTGGGAACTATTCAGACTTTACACTACCACCGAGAGATTCATAGAGGATGGAAACATGGCGTCAGATTCAGATGGAATGTATTTTCTGGGCTGGCAATGGAACCTAGGGCCTCACACAGGCCAGGTAACTGCTCTACCACTGAGTTACACCCTCACCTTAAGGTGGCGTTTTAGTTTTTAGTTTAACACAATACTAATTTTATGTGTATATTGTGTGCCTTCTTACTTGTATGTAGGTGTGTGTGTGTATGTGTGTGTGTGTGTGTGTGTGTGTGTGTGTGTAAAGAGAGAGAGAGAGAGGTCTGCAGATGCCAGAGGATATTGGATTCCCTGGATAATGATTTCCTTCCTAATCCAGAGCACTGATCAGGCGTGTAGGAAGGAAGGGACAGGATCCAAGGTGGTAAGCAGAAGGCTGAGTATGGTAGCGCACCCCTATCATCCTAGCACCTGAGATGTGATGGGAAGAGAATCACAGATTTAGGGTACGCCTTGACTACATGATAAGACTTTGTCTCGGAAAAAAAAAGAGTTGGCTCTAACTCTCAGAGGTAAAGCAGCTGAGAAGCATGTGGCAGGCCTGGTGTTTAATATGTAGCAATGTAACAAACAAGAAAAGAAGCAGGGGATGGGGGGGGGGTGAGGGAATGTTAAGATTGTAGCACTGGGGGCTGGAAAGCTGGCTAATCTTCAGGAGGACCCAAGTTCAATTCCCAGCACCCACACGGCAGCTCATAATCATCTGTAACTCCAGCTTCAGGGAATTCAACATGCTATTCTGGCCTTTACAGGTACCAGGCATGCACAGAGTAAACAGACGTACATGCGGGCAGCACACCCATACACGTAAAAGAAATGGCTCACAACCACCTCTATGGAATCTGATGTCTTCTTGTGGGTTATCTTTCCATGGAGCGACTGCTTTCTGGATCTTTGGACTGGCAATTACCTCTGAGAGTTATATCCAACTCTTTTTTTTTTTCTGAGACAAAGTCTTATTATGTGGGAATTGAGCTTGGGACCTCTGAAAGAGCAGCCTGTATTCTTAATCACTGAACCATCTCTCCAGCACCCCCCCCCCAACCCCATCTCTCCAGCACCCTCCCCAACCCCCTGTTTTCAAGACAGGGTTTCTCTGTGTGGTCTTGGCACAGAGATCCACCTGCCTCTGCCTCTCGAGTGCTGGGATTAAAGGTCTGCACCCCCACCGCCCAGCTGAGAATGAGCTCTTTTTTTTTTTTTTTTTTAGTAAATTTATTCATTATGTATGCAGTGTTCTGCAGGTCAGAAGAGGGCACCAGATCTTACTACAGATGGTTTTGAGCCACCATCACCATGTGGTTGCTGGGAATTGAACTCAGGACCTCTGGAACAGCAGGCAGTGTTCTTAACTGCTGAGCCATCTCTCCAGCCCTGAGAATGACCTTTTAAAACACAGTGAAAGCTATATAGAGAGAAAAGAGGAGAATGGAAGGAGACAAGGAAGAGAGGAAGGGAAGGAGACGAGGAGGAGAGAAGAGAAGAAAAAGCCTTATGAGGCAGGATATAAGAACAGAAAATTAAGGAAACACGAGGAGGAAGAGGCTCGCACTCCAGAACATTGTTCAAGTCTCTCATCCTCTGAGAGTTGAAATTTCCAGCACAATTAACATTTGCTGCAAAGGTTACCTATAGAGATAACAATCCTTTTATATAGCCATTTCAGCTAAGAATGAACCATGCTTAAAGCTCAAACACGTATGCTATTTTTCCTCTCACTATTATGGCCTTTCTTCCCAGGATAGCCTTTCCCCTTTCCTAGATGTCAACCTGCAATTTGCAAGGAATTTCACAAACAAGTTTTTACAATTAAATACGTGTCTTAACCGCCTGTGCAAACTTTGTGAGCCTGGTTTGACCTTATCAAGTTGTAATCTTATCCAGGGCATTTCAATAACCATCCCATAATCTCATTTACCAAAAAGAATCAGGGGAAAAAAATCCTTCAAAATCTCTCTGAGCCAAGTAACTTCAGGGGCTGCACACTGTGAGCACTGGGGAATACCAAGAATACAGGAATGAACCGGGTCTCAAAGCTGCACCACAGAGTATCTGGTTTGCAGAGGTCCTGCAACCAGCCTTTGTTAGGATTCCATGCTGAACAGGCTACTTCCTGATAGAACACTGGCCATGTGATTTCAGAGAAGCATCTACCCACAGCCAATACACACACAAGAAAGGGAGCCCTTAGGAAGCAAAAGCTGAGTCCTATTTATCTCTCCACACTGGTCAGAACCGGACTTGACATTGAATTGAGATTTTCAAAGGTGTTTGCAAAACAGATTTGGGGAAGGCTAATGCATTCATAGTAAACACTTTAAATTGATACATTTTCATTTAGGATTCGGGCATCAGTTTCTTTTTTGATTTTATGGGTGTGATGTATAAGAGCATACAAGTTCATACATGTGAACACTGGGTGTGCAGGTACTCGTGCATGTGTGTACATATGCATGCAGAGGCCAGAGATGGATGCCAAGTGCCTTCCTCAATCATTCTATGTTTTATTCTTTTCTATAGAATCTGTCATTGAACCTGGAGCTCTCTGATTCTGATTCTGCTAGATAGGCAGAACAGTGAGCCCTGGGAGACAGCCCATCTCTGTCTCCTCAGTGCTGGGGTACAGGAACACACCCCATGCTTAGCTTTTTATGGGTTTGCTGGAGACCCAAACTTGGATCCTCCTACTATAAGGTAAGAACTTTACTGACCGAGCCATTTCCCCAGCCTCCTTATATACCAGTCTCTTTTTAAAAATTACACACACACACACACAACTGGGCAGCGGTGGTGCCTTTGATCCCAGCACTCAGGAGGCAGAGGCAGGTGGAACTCTGAGTTTGAGGCCACCCCGGTCTACAGAACAAGTTCCAGGACAGCCAGGACTACACAGAGAAACCCTGTCTTGAAAAGCAACAACAAAAATCACACACTCTCATGTACCATGCCCAGCACAAGAGTAGAGATCAGAGGACAACCTGCAAGTAGATTCCCTCCTTCTACCCTGTGCACTCCAGAGATCAAACTCAAGTTGTTGTTTTTTTAACTAGCTGTTGTAGACCAGACTGGCCTCAAATTCACAGAGATCTGCCTGCCTCTGCCTCCCAAGTACAGGGACTAAAGGCATACGACATCATTCCCCAACCCAAACTGAAGTCTTAGCACCAAGCACCTTAATACATTGAGGCATGTTGCTGGCTCTGCATCACTTTCTTAGAAATCTCACTAACAGGAATTGTGAAGTCCAGAGGCATATAGTGACAGATGGTGAATTCAACAAGATCATAGCTCTTTGGAGCCAATGAACCAGTCTTCACTGCAACACTATGCCAACCAGGCCATCCTTATCTGTCCATCAACACTGAGTGAGACGCAGGAGGCCTTTTCTTATTTGAAATTTCCCTTTGAGTTTTCTACAAATGGTTGGATAGTTTTCACTGTTTCCCCGTCCAACAGCAATGAGCTTGCATGTCAAAGACCACAGAAGGAAGGATGTGCCACTGACTGACCCCATCTGGGTCCTCGAAGCTTACCTTCTCTCTAAGAATTGCTGCTTCTTCCTACTCCACCAACATTTCCCATGACCAGCATCCTCCATGGCCAGCGTCCTCCATGGCCAGCGTCTTCCATGACCGATGTCCTCCATGACCAATGTCCTTCATGACCAGCATCCTCCATGACCAGCGTCCTCCATGACCAGTGTCCTCCATGACCAGCGTCCTCCATGGCCAGCGTCCTCCATGACCGATGTCCTCCATGACCAATGTCTTTCATGACCAGCATCCTCCATGACCAGCGTCCTCCATGACCAGCGTCCTCCATGACCAGAGTCCTCCATAACTGACATCCTCCATGACCAGAGTCCTCCATGACTGACATCCTCCATGATGTCAGACACTGGACCAGGGGAAAAAACCGTTTTGCCAAGGGTAGACCAATTCTTTTCCCTTTTCTGAAAATATGAATGTACAGTAGAAAGAGGCATTCTGCTGTTGTGGATGGTACTGAAAGCCTGGACTTGCAGGACCCCTGGAGCAGCTGCAGTAGAGGCAAGTCCTCAGGCCACTCTACCTGCGTAATACCTTCGGGACTTGAAACATCTGTATCATTCTCCTTGTCAAAAGTTACATTCTCCTTGTCAAAGGTTTCTCAAGAGCAAAGCTTTCTCTGCGTGCAGCGGAGCCCCAGATCAAATCAAACAACATCGTCTGGGAGCTGGAAAGGTTTCAAACGCAAGCCTCAA